CACTCCCGAGTCAGAAACTCTAAGCCAGCCCCAGATTGGAAAGTGGAATAAACTCCTTACAGACCAGACCACAACACAGAAGCATCAGGGTGTGAACTCGGGCGGGAAGAACATTGTGGATCACACACCCCCCTGTGCTCGGCCACGACCCTGCGCAGGGGCCGTAGCGGCCCGTGTCCACACTGATTTGTGGGAGGAGTGGTCTCCACACACCAAGTCCCTCCCAGAGAAGTCAGCCTTGGGGACACTGGCAACTCAGGGAGCTTCTCAACGTACGGCAGAGACGCTTCTAGAAGTAGAGTAGGCGTCCGGTGCGCAGACAGCCCTGCCCACCCTCGCCCAGACCCCGCGGCTCTGCCGTCACGGCAGGAAAACTCACTCAGGTCCTGCAAGCAAACCAGCTGTACCGTCCTCTAGATCTGTCTCCGCAGACACTAGGCTGTCAGTTCTAAATGACAATGTGGGGAGAGGGGAGCGACTAGCAGCTCCTCCCAGGTGGCACCGAACACCCTACGACCCGCCCCAAAGCAGAACAGACCAACGTGGAGAACCTGTTGGCATCAGATCTGCAAATCATAGATGAGAGCCGTCCAGCCCGATTCTGGAGCAGAGCCGTGCATCCCACGGTGTCCGGACCCGCCGCTGGGACAGACAGGTTCTAACACCAGGGGTTTGCACCTCAGCGCGGGCCCTGCTCTCTCCTCCCTCTCTCCCCTCCTGCAAGCCCGCTGTCACCCAAGCCAGGTCAGTCCTGCAGACACAGCCCTGGGGAGGAGGGAGCACCTGGTTGTGCTCTGACGTGCCGCGTGTCCTGCTCCGGGAAGCCTCCCCGGCCCTGCTCGGTGCACGCTCACGGCGCCCGCCCCTGCCTCCAAGTTCTCACCTCGGCCTGAGCCCTTTTCCTTCCTGCGAGGACCCATCGGAGCTCCCACATGCGGCCGTGTGCACACACCTCCCTGCCCCTTCCCTTGTCTCCCGGGTCCTCACAGCTGAGGCCACACATGAAGGCCCCCCGTGACCACCACGTACCACGCACACCAGCGTCAGCTTCTGCTTACGCTCCTCCCCTGGCTCACGTCACCCGAGACCCCGTTCCTAGACGCCCCCCGCCCCAGCGTCTGCTGCCACCTGCAGAAGCCAGTGGGCTCACCTGCCCCCACACAGTGGTCATTCCAGAGCTGGACATCCCAGCCGACACCCCTTCCCAGAACCAAAGCCTGTCCCCCAGGACCCTGTCCCAGAATCAGGGTGCGTCCCCCCGGGACTCCCCCCCAGAACTGGGGCATATCCTCCGAACCCGTCCTCAGAATCGGGGTGTGGCCCCAGCACCCCCTCCTGGAATCGGGGTACATCTGCTAATATCCCCTCACACATCAGGTGTGCCCTCTTTCCGGCCCAGGGTCTAGAAAAGGCCCTAAAAGCAGCTATGAAATTGGGTTCTTCGCTAACTGAGTCACAACGTGAAAACACGCACCGACTCTGAGCAGGCTGTACGGTCGCATGTCTCTCACCTGTAACCCAAGCCGCCGTGGCCGCCTCCTGCTGCCCTGGGCCTGCTTGCTGGACCGTCCCAGAGACTGGGCTTTGGGAGCTGAAATCAGCCGGGCCAGCCAGGGGCCGGGAGCGACCCCAAGGAGAGGGGACGGAGCTGCCCAGAGGGCCGCCGCCGTGTGACAGACCCAAGCCCCAGGCTCCAACAGGAAAGGCATGCAGGTCACGGTCCTGACTCACCCAGTCTTGAGATGGCCAGGGACACACGGAAGGGACCCGTCAGCACTCACCCTCCTGTTCCTGAAGCACCAGATGAAACCACCAAAAGCAATAACAGGTAGGTCTGGAACTAGGAACAAGTACGTTCTTACACACAGCAAAGCGAGGCCACAGAAACAGAGCTGGGGACACGGGGATCCCTCCTGAAGAAGCCCAGCCTCTCCACAGTGAGCGGCTCGTTCGCAGCCACGGGGACAGCGAGAGCACGGACCGGGAGGGATACAAACGCACGCGCCACGGAGAAGCACAAAAGCACGCGGACAAGCGGCCGTCCGCATGACCCAGCGGCCGGGAGGCACGGTCCTAGCAGTGCGGGGCGGGCATCGCCAGTCCGCGCCCCAGAACCCGACCACAGGGCCCGTGTCCGCTCCCCACCCATGGACTGGCGGGCGCCATGGGGGGTAACAAAGAGATAAAACAGAGCAGGTGTGATTTGGAAAATACACCCCAGGCCCAGGGAGAGAAGCAACGTCCTATTTGCTCCCTCAGCAACATAACCGAGGGTACACCCAGCCTCCGTGAGCCACGATGCTCGTGCAGATAACGTTTCTAACACGTGGGGCTAAATGTCACGGCCGAGAGCACAGTCACACGCACGCACGCACGGAAGACAGAGCAGCCGCCTCGAGCTACAGCTGAAGCACCGGTGGGCCCGTCGGTGGAAAAGGCCGAAAATACCATTATCCAGACGCCAGCATGACGACGACGTGGGAAAAGATGCTCAAAGACCAAACTTGGAGGACACGGAGCACTGCCCAGGCTGGCAGGACTGGGGGACGCTCACCGCGGAGCAGACTTCCTGCTTAAGAACCGCAGCCCAGAGCTGCTGCGCGTCCGGGCGCCCTGCTGGGTGGAGCTGCTCGGAACCCACGTGCAACGGCACACGCAGAGCACGCGTGCTGGGCCCGTACCGCTGCCCCGTGATGGCAGGAGCGCGCGTGACCACTGGCTCCCGGGGCCAGGGTGCGTGCAGGACACAGGCTGGGAGTCCGTGCACGCAGGCGTGGTCCACACTGCAGCCATCGCCAGAGCGTCAGATGCGGCCAAGCCCGGGTCTGGAGGCGCACGCAGCCCCGGGAGACGCGTTAGGGCCGGAACCTTACGCAGTCTGGGGGACAGGTCGTCCACGTAAGAGAAGAGATGAAAACAGACACACACCCAGCAAGGAAGGACACTGGAAAGGAAGCGCACAGGAGACAAGAGCCAGGAGGGACAGCAAAGGGAGATTCAGAAACACACGGGGGTGGCCCCAAATTGGGCTTCTTCCAGGACGTCGGGGAGGCGCTAAAGGGGTGATGACAACACCACGCTCGAGCGTCTCAGAACCGGTAAAGAGCCTCTCCATCGGTGGGAGTGATGCCCCAGCAGAAATGCTCGGGGCACAGCCCCCAAGGACTCACAGTCACACACACGTGTGCGTGCATGCACACGTACAAGCTTAGACACAGCAACACACGTGCGTGCACACTTCCACACACTTATACACAGTTATGAGCACACACCCACACACGCACATGTCCACATGTTTATACGCACACGTCTACACACACCTGCACACGTGTATGTACACACGTGCACACGCTTACACCAACACCCACATAGTACACAAGAGTCTATGCCTTGCACATATTTGCACACATGTGCACACATATGCACACCCACACATGCATACATACAGATTCCCACGTCCGCACGCACACACACACACACACACACACACGTACAGACGCCTCGGCAACCAGAGTCCACACGAACGCAAACCCACACGTGTGGATGCGAACACACAGACACGTACATTTGCACCCATGCCACACACATACACACATATGTACAGGCATATACAAATGCACACCGATCCGCATGTGTGCCTCCAATACATGCACACGCGTGAACATCACACGTGTGCACATACATGTACACACAGATACGTAACTCCCACAGTCAAGTCCATCCACTGACACACACACGCTCTGAACACACACCGTGTGCTTCTACACCATCACACACCCTCGCTGTCAACACTAGGTATTGTTACGGTGTCTATAAATAAACACACGTGTGTGCGTTTAAACGTGCAGCCCATACTCCACGCCCGGCACCTGCAGCCCAGCGGGCTTGTGCGTACCCAGCAAGCCCATCTGCCGCCCCCACGGACACCAGGCTCGGCCACCGACACTCCGATAAAGCAGAACCTAGAAACCCCCTCCCCCGGTCATGGGCCTTGACTGGAGTTCCCAGACCATCCTGGGGGCCCAGGACAGCAGCAGACCAGGAGACAATGCTGACATGGACAAGTCCGGGGACACACGGCTGACAGTCGCTCTGGGAGGTAGGGGGTGGTCCCGCTCATCCTTTCCACTGGGGGTGGTCCTGCTGCCCCAGCAAGGCTGTGGTAGGAGCCGGGCAGGTGTGCCCCAGCTTAACGACCCAGCTGCTGCTGCAGGGTTGCCACGACGACCACAAGCACAGGGACACCCTCAGGGTCACTGCAGGCTTTGCCTCCTGGTGGGTCACTCTGGCCAGCAGGTCAGGGCTCGGCACACCTGCGCCAGGGCCAGCCAGGACCTGCCTCATCGCCCCCACCTCCCAGCTCTGCAGAAGCTGATTCCACCAGAATTCCACCCCAACACCCGCCCCACAAGCAGAACACCCCCCCAGTCCCTACTCTCAAACAGCTCCTCCCCCTCTGGGGCAACAACCCCCCACGGCAAGCTCTGCAATGCTCCCTGACCTCCCAGCCCTACAGCGTCACTGGAGCACACTTGTCTCACCCGTGGGGAAACTGAGGCTGGGGGGCCTCACAGGGTGGCAGACCCTCCATCTCCACATCTAAGGGCCCCACTGTAGCTGCCTGGTCTCCCCAGACTTGCCAAGGGGCCAGCCTGGGCCTGAAGCCCCAACCATCCTCACCCTGTGTTCTGTGCTCCCACCTTGTGCTCCCTACCCCGCACCCCACGCCCGCACTACCCTCCACGCCCCCCACCCAGCCCCGTGCCCCCAGGTCCGTGCCCCTCTCCCCACCCTGTGCTTCCCACCCCGTGCTCCCCACTCCCCTCCTCCCTGACCTGTGCTCCCCCTGTTCTCCCTCCCCCCTGCTCACCCCCCATGCACCTCCCCCCAACCCATGCTCCCCCCGTGCTCCCTCCCCCATCCCTGCTCCCCTCCCCACGCTCCCCACCCCACGCCCCCACGCCCAGCGTCCCTGCAGCCCACAGCCCCACCGCACTGACCTGCTTCTCGTTCTCATCCTCCAGCCTGAGCCGGTCCTCAATGCAGTTCCGGGCTTGCAGGAAGGCTTTCCTTTGGGAGCGTTCGGCCAGGACCCGCACAAACACCCCGTACATGTTCACACTGAGGAAGAGTAGGGCATTGGCACCGAGCTGAAAGAGAACAAGGGCACCGTGCACGTGGGGCGCTAGCTAGGCAGCGGCTCCCACACCCTCCACCGAGCCTCCCGTGTGACGACCATGCAGCCTAGGGTGGCGGGTGTGCTGGCAGGACCCACGGTGCATGGCCGCTTCCTGCGGTCCCAGAGTGGAACAGCATGTGGGGAGCGTCCCCCCAGCACCCCAGAGCGTGGCTGCATTTGGACATAAGGTCTTCCAAGGGGTCATTATGTTAAAACAAGGTCACTGGGGAGGCCCGTGTGACTGGTGTCCTCCTAACACGAAGGGACCAGGACACAGCCGTGTACACAGGAGCGAGCCTGGGAGGACCCAGAGAGGACACTCTGGGATTCCACACGTCCAGGCTCCAGGCCTGAGAGGGACAGACGTCTGCCACTCACGCCGCTGGGCTGGGCTGCACGTGACAGCCGTCCCGGGACAGCACCCGAGAAAACATGACGCCAGGAGAGATCTGATGCTCGCAAATGGGGAAGTGTAGGGAAGCAGATCAGAAGCAAAAGAAAGGACCACATCACACGGGAGCACGAAGGGAGCCATCAGGATGAGGGACCACCCAGGGAACCCAGCATCCGGAGCCCCCTGCTCGGCCCACACCCCTGGACGCCCGCTCCCTTCCAAGGATGAGAGTCAAGGAAGGGGCAGCGAGCAAGACCCACCTGGGGCACCGGCCACAGCCCAGACTCGGAGGCTCGCACCTGCTGGACCAGGAAGGGGGCCCGGCAGGATGTCGGCTTTCAGCAACTTTACCTCTCGGCCAGTGCGGACCACCCGGAAGCCCACGACGGCCACGCCGCAGGTCGTGGCAGACCCAGGGAGGATCAGACCCCACATCCCCACCCAGCCTCCTCTGCTGGTCTGTCCCACCAGTCTTGGGCCCAGGACCAGTAGGGCCATGGCACCGACCCAGGCTCCGCACCCACTTCCCCAAGGGGCTGCCGTGTGTATGAGCATCGCACCAGCCACTGCCCTCAGTCTCCACAAAGAACACAGATTTCGACATCTGATAGGACGCACACACTTCCTGCGGGGTCCGGGTGTCCCCGCTGCTCTCCACCAGGTACTGTCACTTGCACACGATTACGTGGGATGAAACAAACACAGAAACAGGTGGGCAGCGGTCTCTGGCCAGAGGGACCCGCCTGGGACAAGCAGCAGGACAAAGGAGGGCAGACCACCAGGCCACATGGATGCAGAAACCTCAGCACCTGGTGAGGCCAGAGGCTGGAGCCGGGAGCAGGCGGGGGACACAGACTCAGCAGGCAGACTGGCACAGAGGAATGGGGAGTGTGACAGCCTCGGTGACATGTCCCGCAGGAGGGACACACAGGGCCACGCGGCTGCAAACAGCAGAGCTGTTCAAAAAGGTGACAAGGACAGGAGAAAGCCAGGGACACGAATCCCCAGGGCCTCGCACAGAACTGTCCTCCCCCAAAACACAGGAGAGTCTGCCAGCACGCCGGGGACCCCAGGCTCACGTATGCCTGCTGAGCTCATGTCTCAAAGGACGCAGGAACGTACCACCAGGACAGCGTCCGGCCCACACCGCACAGTCGGAAAACTGCTGCCCCTGTGAGGCTCCAGGAGTTGCCCGAGTCCTATAACCATAGTGAGCCCGTCTCCCCCATGTGACCAGCTCCCCTTCCTGTGACCTGACCGTCTCCGTGTGACCCAGCCATCCTCCTGTGTCCCTCTAAACCCGCTGTTCCACCCTCGTGGGAGCACTCCTCGCCTGAAGCAGGTGCCGGACTGGGGGGACCTGCTTCTGCGGTGCCCGTACCAGCCCCTCAGCAGGCCCAGGGTGGTGGGGGCAGGGGTCGGCGTGGCCGTCCCGGGGCCCATGCCGTGTCCCAGTGACCAAGGCAGTGTCCCCTCAGGCCATCGGCTCTGTCTGCGGACGGGTCATCGGTGCACACTGTTCACGAAGCCGCTCGTCGCAGGCAGCAGGATGCCCAGAGCGCATGGAAGGATGGACGGCAGCTCTGCAGAGTCAATATTTAAACGCACACTGCACGTGGTTAAGACGCCCACAAGCACCATCACAGGCACTTTTCCAAACATCCAAACAGTCCTGCATCGCCGCACAGAGCACACGGCTCTTCCCGGTCAACACGTGATTGGTCTGGCTCTGCGTGCCCCCGCCTGGCCTCGAAGGAACCTTTGGAAGGCAAGGAAACCAGAGAGACACAGGACACCCCCTGGGACCCGGCACCAACCGTCCTGGGACGCCCTCCAGACCAGGCGCACCCAGCCTCCAGGCGGAGGGGTCAGCACCGCGGACAGCGCCACACGGGGCCAGAGGCCACCAGCCCTGCCTCCCCAGCCAGCAAACACCCCTTTTCCAGAGAGGAAGTCCTCAGCCAGCCAGGAGTGCGACTGCGGAAATGTGGAGTCCCCAGGGAGGTGGGGCAGAGATAGGACACAGGCCACCGGGCAGACCGTGTGGTCAAGGGAGAAGTGGCCAGGAGAGTGAGGGCAGACCGGGTCACTTCTCTACACACACCCATATCACTTCTTCCCTTTCCTCCCACCATGATGATCCACCCAGGGAAACTGGGGCCCCAAGCTCGGCCTTTGGAGGTGCGTGCCCTAAGACACCCCTCGTCCCATGCCAGACTCCCTCCTCTCTGAGGAAAGCTAGCCCACCCCGGCCCCCACCTGTTCCAGCTGTTAACTCTGGGGGTCTCAGGGCTGCCAGGCCCAGCCCCTCCTCATTGCTCCCTGGCCACGTGAGGGCTATGACCCGCACTGCTCCTGACCCCACACCTGACTCAGGACACCAGGTCACACCCTGGAATGCTGCCCCCCGGGAACGCCAGGCCCCTCTTTGTCCTTTACGCACTGCGCTCCTGTCTTGGTTGCTCAGCACTCCTCTGGGGAGGAGTGTGGGAGGAGAGGAGGGAGGTTCCGGGAAGCAAGGCCCCAGCCAACACCTCCAGAGTCCATGGCATGTAGCCGCATGACCCCATGGCTTTGGGCCAAGAACTGGTCCTTGCCACTCCCACCAGCATCCACTCCACAGACACACCAGTGCTTAAGTGGGGCCAGCCCCAGGCTGAAGGGGCCAGTGCACACGCTGCAGCCCCATACACCTGGCCTCCATGCACCTATCCCACAGACTTGGCCTCCACGTACCCACCCCACGCACCTGGCCCCCATGTACCTGCCCCACACACCCGGCCTCTAGCACCGTGGGCCCTAGCCCTCCTGTCCTCCTCATGTGCTCCTGGCCTGGTCTGCCTTGCTCAGAGCCTCTCCCTGGGCAGGGGCCCTCTTCCCACCATGCTGGTTCATGCCCAGCCTGCAGGGGCTCAGCTCAGACATGACCTCAGAGCAGCAGACTCTGAGCCCTTGTGCATCACAGAGATTCCCAGGAGCCAGTTCTGTATTCCTTCCTGCTGTTGTTTGCAACAGCTGTTACCAGCTTCCAACACACGAGGGTTCACTCACCTACCACCTTCCCGGCCCCCTGTCTGCCCCTTGAGAGGGTCTTGGCCTGTCGGGCCTGCCGACGGTCCCCCAAGCCTAGGATGGAGCCTCTCGTGAACCCGGCACCCTGATGTTTGTTGAGTGAATAACTAAGGGCACACGGGTAGCGAGAGGCCGGGCCTGGCCATGCTGCTGACAAGGGGAGATCTGCACTGCCACCTGCTCCGGGCTGTCTGGATGGGACCCTGCGAGACGTTTTCCAGTCCCCACATCTGGGGTCAGATGGGTGGGCAGTGACCCCAGCTTTCCCATGACCCTCAGAGGCACACAGAGGCAAGTCCTCGATGCAGCCTGACATGGGAAATGACATGCCTTCTTGAGCAGGCTGAGCCTAGGGGGAGCCACCGGTGGCATGAGGACATGGCACGCAGACACGTGCATGTGTGGACCAGATCTCACTGCCCTGCGATCAGTAATCAGCACTGGGGGAGGGGGCAGGTCCTTGTCCTTCCCAGGCCCTCCCTCTCAGCCCCCCTGCAGGCCTACACAACAGAGGAGACTCTCAATTTTGCCTGCACCCCACCCTTCCTAGATGGGCTGTGAAGGACACCCCAGGAAGAACTCCACACACCAAAGCATCCACCCACCCACCCACCCATCCATCCTCCTCCCACCCACCCACCCATCCATCCATCCATGCACCCACCTATCCACATCATCCTTCCTTCCATCCATCCATCTTTCATGCACCCATCCATGCAACTATCCATCCATCCATATCATCCATCTAGACTTCCAACAACTGATCTAACCACCCATCTATCCAAGTCATCCATCCATCCACCCACCCACCTATCCATCCATCCATCCATGCACCCATCATCCATCCATCCATTCTATCATCCATCTATTCATGCATCCATCCATGCATCCATCTATCTGTCCGTCCATCCATCCATCCATCTATCCAAATCCCATTCCCACGCACCCATCCATCCATCCATCCATCCGTGCACCAATCTATCCATCCATGCATCCATCTACCCACCCCCCATCCATCCATCCAACCATCATCCATCCATCCATCCATCCATGCATCCATCTATCTATCATCCGTGCATCCACCTACCCACCCCCCCATCCACCCATGCATCCACCCCCCCCATCCACCCATGCACCCATCTATCCATCCATCGATACGTACATACACCCATTCATCCATCCACTCAAACACAACATGAGCTGGGCTTTGGGCCTCTGTAAGCTCCTGGCTGTTCAGGCCAGCTTGCTCTACAGGCATCACATTGACCCCTCTGGGAACTACCCAGGACATGTCTGAAGCAGTAATGGCCGTGGCTCATGGGCAAGCGACTCTGGTCAGGGAACCAACATCACTGTGAATGACCAAGCCTCTAGAAGCTGTCAACCCGGGTGCCTGCTTGTGGCAGAAAAGCAACCCACAGCATTTCAGTGTCTTTTGTCCTCCTCCCACCTGACTGCAGAGCACGGGGACCATGGGACCGGAAAGCATGGTCTTCCACTGCCTC